TGTGTGTGTGTGTGTGTGTGTGTGTGTATGTGTGTGTGTGTCTGTGTGTGTATGTGTGTGTGTATCTGTGTGGTGGAGATACACACGTCAGCATGTCGCCTCAGATGTTGTGTGTGGTGGAGATACATGGCGCTTGGGTTTGTGGGTCTCGTCGCTCTCTGAAAACTCCCCACGACCACACGACTTTCTTCTTATGTCTCGTCACGACCCGTGCAAGGAACAGGAGACCTGAGCAAAGAGCAGGGATTAGGAGCTTACGTAACATGACATGCAAGTGTGTGAGGACAATCGGTTATTGCTCTCTCTCTCTTTAAAAAAAAATTTTTTTGCTCAAGCTTTAATACAGATCTGAAAATGCCTCTCCATCCCTCAAGGAAAAAAAAAACAGAATTGAAAACAAAGAAATAATCCAACTCCACCAGAAAAAAAGTTAAAACAATCGACTCCTCCACAACCCCCCCCCCCTCACCCTTAAATATTCAAAAGTATACTAAAGGCCATGCTGATGTACATTTTGAACAAAACTGCACACATCAGATAAACGAATTTGCTTATTTTATAGTATGCGTATAACAATTTACATTTTAAACTATAAGAGAAAAGACAATCTAATTGAAAAATCTGAGTGATCAACGAAGTTGTACTTCTCAAGTGTCTGCCTTAGACTAACAAAGTTCTATCTGATATGCTTTGTCGGTTTTAGTTACTATAAAAACCATGAGGTCAGAAGCCAAATGTGAGGCAGCGTGGTAGAATCATCCTCTCGTCAATTTTGGGGCATGTAAAGTTATTGGTATCATCTTAAAGCTTATTCACTTGTCTTTATTTGGTTGGAAATAATATTCTTTTATCTTGAATACAAGTCGAGATATTCACGAAAGAAGGAGGTGGGGGTCACCTGTTTTCAGAGGTAAAATTATTCAGAAAATGGCCGCCAAATATTAGTAATTTCCTTAGCTTAAGAGTCCGTGGTAACTGAAAATTTACATACGCTTTTCAGAAAAATCCACACAGAAATTAGTTCTTTAATGGGCATGAAAGATGTTGAGCCAAAAAGAAAAAAAATTTGATTAAAATTCACAAACCTGCGGAAAAATTAAAGTTTCTTCACCATGATTATATTGACGAGAGCCTGTTTCCACCACGTTGCCTCACAAATATTCTATCTGCGCTATCCAACTCATAAGCACGTTCGGAGTCGTTATCAAGATAATATTTTTAAAAATTGCATTCGTAAAAGCTTGACATGTGAAACTTAAATTTTTTTAACGTCCAATTCCTCAAAACTAGGTACTGAGCAGATAGAAGAACTGAAAGATCCCTTGGTGGTCTAAAATCGATAAGAGTAGGCTTCGGCCGCCACCCGGGCAAAATTCAAAATTTCCTATCAACTGAAAATATTAGGTGTGT